TACCTACCTATTATCAACTGCTTTTGGTGGTGATACCATCACATGAAAACGGTGACAATCTCGATCTCGATTCCCGCAGTGCAGTATATTGCTGAAATGCATAAGATCGTAAGCATTTTGTTGGATCGACCATATTAGCGTTTCCACTGCGATATATTTGCGATGCTCGTATGTACATAAATTGTAACAATTTGATGATACCTATAATAAAAGCATCTAAAATTTCAGAAAAAATTCTTGATAAAAAATTAAATTTTAACTATTAGCCATGTTAGGTTGACATAAAATTATCAGTTAAAATAAACATCTGAATATAAATTTACTAAAATCTTTCAATTTTCAGAAGTAAATTTTTTTTTTTAAAAAAAAAAACTTTTTTTTTTCAGAACGAAGCTTACGTGTTGCTGACAACAAATTAAGAGTAATTTGTCAAATAGCTTTCTTGATAAACATGTTGAGTAAGGTGATCGAGAATTTCCGATACCACAATGAGATGGCAAATTAGATTGTGATAGTTTGGTGATCGAATATTGTTGATTTAAATGAATATAGTTATCGTAAGTTTGATAAGTTGATGCTAGAAAAAATTGATTTCCAATTTGATTTAAGAGTAAGGACAAATTTATGAAATATTACATGAGAGGAGAAAATCATTTTATTAGAAAGTGAAATTATGCCAATAATCTTTATTAATCCTTATTAAACTTTTATTTGATGGCATATCGATTTTTAATTCATGAAAGTAAAATAAATATTAATGTCAAGATAGTATAAAAAAAAAAAAAAATTTAACCACCTTTTGGAAGTTCAAATAATTTTTGAGATAATAAATTTGGTTTAATAAACATTATTGATTTTTTGATCGATCGAATAGTGGGCATAGATAATATGATTGGAAGTGCTATTGAAATGGAAGTGATCTAAATTAGTAAACTTTGTTTAGTCCATTAAACTATTTAGAAAATTTATTGAACCAAAAAAAAAAAATCAGTTCATTGCATATTAGCTGATATAATTATGAAGTTATGATTATTAAAAAATATTGATTATAAAATTTTAATTTAGCAATTAAAACTTTTAATCCTAAATTTTTGAATAATCAAATAGAAAAAAATGTAAGCATTCTAACTTGTTCATTGTAGAATTGCAATTCTGTTTTTTGATAAAATCCAATGACCAATGTGATAAATTCATCATAATTTTGCATTTTATATGGACAATTAGCAATTATATAATTTAACCAATCGATAAAATATTTATTCAAAACGTATTCACTGCAGCATAGCAACTTTGGAAGAATTTCACATAAAAGTAAGCGATCTTTTGCTGGTACAACTGTCGAAGCTGCCATCATAAATAGTGTTCTGGCAAAAATTATTTGAATTATTTATCATTAAAAAAATATTAAATTTAATTAAAAATTTCCTTCCTATATAAAATTTAATTAGCGTAACTAAATAGCTCTTCAATTAATCAAAATAATAGATGAATTGATAAGTTCAGAAATAAAATTGATAAATTGAAAGACACTTTAAAATCATTAAATGGATAAGGGAAAAGAAAAAACCTGTTTATTTATTTTAAATTTTATCAACTAAAAATATTAATTATTGCTTTAAAAAAAAAAATTACCACTATTTAAGGTTTTAAATAACATTTTTGGTGTAATTTTCTTTACAAAAAGCAATTTTATTTATTTTTGATTTTTTTTTACTTGCGCTTATGATAATAATAGTAATAAGTTCATTTTAAAAATTTATGAAAATTAAGCATTTAATTTGCATAAGTAATAATGTTTAAAGAATGAATGACAAAAAAAATCACTGAAATAAAAAAAGTAAGCTAAAAGTACAAAAAAAAAAAGTATCAAAGAGTAAAATCAAACAAAAAAAAAAAAAAAAAAAAAATCATAAAAGTTAATTAAAATAACAAAATAATTTAATTTTTCCATCTTTTTTTTTTTTTCATATTTTCTAATGCATTGTCGTCAGATATCCCAAAAGTTACTTACTTTTCTGCTCATTTAATTTAAATTACTTAAAAATAAATCGTAAAACTTACTTATTTATTATTTTATCTTTGAAACATTTTCATTCCTTTTTTTACATTACGCTTTTTAACTTTTTCACTAATATTATTGTCATCAAAAAAAAAAAAAAAAAGTGACAAAATTTTGATTATGTCATTGTGCTTTTTTGCATATCCAATTTATTAGCGGTAATGTCACACATTCAATTATCCATTCATCCATTAGAAATTTTTTTTTTGCTTAAAAAATTTATTTACATTATATGTATATATACATATATAAAAAGCGTGTTTTTAATGGCTTATTTGCGCGCGTGTATGAGATGAACGGATGAATGTCTGTAAAAGAGCGCTTTTCTACAAGGAAAGCTTGAACAATGGAAATGTTGAAATGCGCAAAACCGGTTTTCCTTTTCAACTGGTCATCATAATATTACGCCATCAAAACGTGTTCTACTGCTTTTTGGACGATATTTAATTCTAACAGTTTAGTTGATTGTAATTGATTCTTAGATTTGATTAGTTTTAATTTAAAAACTAAATACTAACTAATTTTAATTTATTGATCAATAAATGATTTATCTTTTTTTCACAAGCAAATCAAGTGGAAAATAAAATTAATCACAAATTACTGATAACATCATCATTGTTATAAGAAATAATTGCAAAAATAGAAGCTATATTAGAAATTTAATATAAATTTCATTGATTAAATGAAAAGTTAAAAAAACCTGTAAATCATTTCTTTCCAAACAGCCCACCGTATCCTGATGAGCAACTGCAACTTGCACTGCCGAAAAGTCCACCACCTGATGGATACGAATCGTATCTTTCCTGCAATCATTTATACATATTCAATGCGGTAGAATTCAAATTTTTTGGGTTTAAAATTTTGGAAAAAAAAAGTATACAATAAAACCTGTTGACGATGGGAGCCAAAAATTCCGTTGCCTTGTTGATAGGAATCACCGCTGATACCACCAACACCTCGAGTTGACCAACTACCACTTCCACCTGGACCACCGCCTATCCCGTAACTGCTTACGCTATAATAAATTTCAATGAAAAAAAAAAAAAAAAGAAAAAGGCATTAAAATCACTCAGTTAAGCATTCACACTTCAATCATCAAAACAGTACCGCTTTTGAATGTAATTTAAATGAAACAAAATGAACTTCAGAGGTCACTCATCAATCCATCAATACATTTAGCCATTTTATGTCAATTGTCGCATTTATTATTTCACAATTAATTATGTATATGTTCTTTTGTCTTTGCGACATTTATTATTCTACAATTAATTACCTATGTCTTTCATCTTTGCGACATGTTTGAATAAACTTAAATGTAAAATTTAACTCATTTGTGACACCAAAATACATTGATTTGATGTTATCATAAAATGCATGTGATAAAATTAAGTAACCTTCAATTGTGATATGCATTACTGCATTACTCGTTAGTATATATTTATGTTTTATATTATTCATTGTCGCACATTAAATGTCGCATGTCGTATTATAGTATTATATTATAAATAATAGCTAAATAAATAATTAGCTAAGCCTTCATCTCATATTTTTCAAATTTTGTCATCACAATTATGTAATCTTCATGAAATTATATATCTCGGAAAGAACAGAGACAGGAGTGGAGGGCGAGGGAGAGAGAGAGAGAGAGAGAGAGAATTCTTTGTTGTAATATTTTTGTACGGTAATTAATTTGAGAATAAAAAAAAAACAGTCATAAAATAGAGAAATGATATTTCAAATGATAATAAGAGCTTATTTCATGCAAAAAAAAAAGAAATTAATATTCACATATAATTAATAGAAATTGTTTAGAAGAAAAAAAAAAAATGTCTGAGTTCAATGATGCATTGTTGCATAAAATTTAATTTCAAAATTATCTTTGATGTGTAGAACAAGAAGTTATTCTATAATTGAAGTGTTTCCGACACATTAATTCAGAAAAGGCTGGAAAAATTGCTGGAAAAAAAATATAATATAAATTAAAAGTACTTTATTTTCCTTTATTCATTCATTTGTTTATTTATTAAAAGTATTAAAAAAATAATTATTTATTTGTTTATTTATTCACATATGCATCATTTATGTACATCAATTTCATTAATTAATTTAACACCGACTAAATTAGATTAAATATGTATTTCGGCTCTAAATTCTCAATTCAAAATTAATTTTTTACCAAAAAATATAACTTTTTTTTTTATTTTAAATTTTATTTTGGCTATTTTTACTATTTTGACTAGTGTCCAGCATACCTGTATTTCTGATATATTCAAATAATATCAAAATATGCTGTGTATATCATCTAAACCTAAAGTAATTCTTTTTTTTTTTTGATTTTTGTTGCTAGTAATTACTTATCATTAAACCGGAATTACAAACCGGATTTCATATTAATTGATGGATTAATGAAGCAATTCATCGTATTATTATTAGATGCTAAATATACCAAATGATTAGTATCGCCTTTTATTATTGCTATTCAATTGTATTAAGCTCAAATCTTTTGATTAAAAAATTTTTTAACTTTTAATTTATTTCAGATTCAGATTTTTAATTTTTAATGTTCAATGATAATACAATTTTATGCAAATTGATAATAAGAATGTTTGAAAAACTGAAGCATTCCTTCTTATCACTGTTATTGTTATCAGTCGTGTTATCATATAAGCTTAGATAATACAATAAATTGCTAATAATAATAATAATAATGCCACTATTGTTGTAAATCATTTTGCTGCTAAAATGTTACAATTGCAGCACGAAGGAATGTATGTGTGTATGTATGTATGTGTGAAGAGATGAATGTATGTATGTATGTATGTATGTGTGTATGTAAGGAAGGACAATGTAAGGAAGAAGTAAATTTCAGAGAATTTCTCATTTCTCGATGACATTTACGTTGCAGATGAAAAGGAGCGACATTTGAAGATCATTTATTTAGATGGGTCCTAATTTGCACAATTTTGACCTGTTACGTGGGAAGATTGATGCCTCAATGAGTTGGCAAAAATTAGGGCAGACAGATGGAAGGTATGTCCGTACGTACACATACACAGACACACACACACACACACACACATACATGTCAACATGTGTATATCACTTTCAGTGTTTTTCATAAATTTTCATATGGCTTAAATTTTGAAGCAATAGGTACAGTAACTATGTGAGTTTAAAGTATGATAGAAGAGAAATTCAAAGGAAAGGTCAAAGGGAATCTAAAATTAATTTCTTCAACTATCTGACATCATTGTATGCTTGCATTTGAATGCAAACAGATTTGAATTAAATTCGAAATAAAGAATTAGTAGCAATTTTTTTGTGTTGTTTAAATTTTAACCAAGAAATTGATTAATTTATGAAAAAATGCAGAAAGGTTCTAATATTTTCATTTTCGTTTTTCATAAAAATTATTAAGCAATATTTGATGCACTATGATAACATAAATAATCATTTTATCATATAATGTATCGTTACTTACCTAAGATAAGATGAAAAATGAGAAAGGATTCTATCCCATATAATGTATTTTGGTTAATTTAATTTATTATTTATTATTATTATTATTATTACTACTATCATTATTATTGTATTTATTATTATCATTATTATTATTATTATTTGCTATTACATTATTATTGTTATTTATTATTATCAATTATTATTACTATTTATTCATTATTGTTATTGTTAAATTCTTATTTCAGTTAAAAAATTTGAACTTCTGTTCTACGTCTTAATTTATTTATTAATTGATATGTGATGTTTTAAGTTAAAATTTTATGAAATTGAGATAAAATTTAACTTATACCTGATGTTGTTTTGCGCTTGCAGATCGGATAAGGCGAGTCCAACTCGCGGAGCTTGCGGTTCCGGAAGAATGTTGGCGGATTGAATTGGGTTTCTCGAATCCGATCAAAATAATAACGTTTTCCCAAGCGAAACACACTGAACTTCGAAGATCGATGAATAAATTAATGCAGTATTCTGAGTAAATAAAATGTTTCTTTTTTTTTCTGCAAAATGACTGTAAAATGATTTTAACCATTTTCTTGGCTAAGATATTTAGCCTAATCATATAAGGCTCGTTCTGTCATATCAGAAATAGATCTCAACTTGATACTGTCTGCAGATTAGTGACCGATTTTTTTTTTTTTTTTTTTTTTTTTCAAGGTCAAATTTATAAACAATATATGATAAGTTCGATACAGTATAGATGAGCCATTAGGAAGCTTGAAATGATGTGACGTCATTACGTTCGAAAATTTGATCGTTATCAGTGGAAGAGATAATCCAACATAACATATTATCACAGAATGATCAAAAAGTGTTTAAATAAATGAAAGAGATTTAATTTTAAACTTTTTCAGGATTGAATGTAAAATACGGAAAATGGAAGAAATGATTAAATCAAGCAATAATTTGAAATGAAATGAGGGAATAGAGCAATGGCCTTAAAATGGAGAATGTTTGAGGGTGCATCTATTGATTGATTTCCAGATCGTTAATAAAGAAACGTATCTTTCGACAATCATCAAAAATTTCTGCAACATCATTATCATTATTATTATTATTATTATTGTTACTATCATTATTATTATCACTATTATCATCATTATCATCATTATTTGTAGTAGCATATTGGACCAGTACTGTTATTAACTAATTAATAATAAGTGGTAGATTAGAAATGAATTAACACTGGAAGATACATTTGAATGGAATATCATTAAAAGTAATTTTTTTTTTTTTTTTTGGAGAGTTTAAAATCTATTATAAAATGATTAACACAATTATAACTTATTGAATAACAACAATAATTCATGAAAATTATTATAATTTGCAAAAACCTAAACAAATTCATTAGTGAATAAATTTTCTGTAATTAAAATTTGAACAGTATGAATGTTTACTAGTACTATAAATATTTGATTTATATTTCTTGATATATTATTATCAGAAAATAATGAAACAATATGTTAGTTCACGACAAATGTTAAATTCTAGTAAAATAGAAATATCTGAAGACTACAATTTAATTAATATAAATAGTTAAGCTTGTATTATATATTTTGGTTAGAATTTCCGAAAATTTAAGAATTAGATTTAGGAAAAAATTTAAGAATTATTTGTCTATAATTTACATTTATATCTTTCTTACCAGCTTTCATTTTTTTTAATTTCAGATTGTTACTGCCTTTAGTTTTGTTTTGTTTTTTTTTTTGCTTTCCTTTGTTCAGAAGCCTTTCTTTATATAAACAAAAAAAAACGAAAACAAAAAGGAAAAATGAAAAAACTTACCCGTGAATTTATTTTCCACTTCTTTTCCAAATACCTCACTTTTTCAATATTGTTGAAATTTTCAGCAGAAATTACTTAGTGGAAGATTTGATGTAAACAAAAATGCTTTTAATAATTTTGTTTTGTTGTAAAACAATTGCACACTAAAATTAGTGTGCAATTTTCATCAAAACTAATTTATTTGATTTAATTTTAGATACGAATATGAGTACTTACTTAATTATAAAACATATTGAAAAATGATATAATTTATAATATAAAAGTAAATATATTATAAAGGAATATGATAAAAGCCAAAAAGATTAACTTACTTATCTATTTGATTATTCAAAACGATAAATCATATACAATTTATCAATCAATGATTTACATATGTAAATTTCATATGCGATCATTAGTTTTTATCAGCAGAAGATATGAAAATGGACGTTATCAATGAGAAAATAAAAGGAAGTAGAGGAAAAGCCTTTTTGATGAAAAATGCTTTTATAGAGCAAATATTTAACAGCAATATAAATCATGTTTTATTGAGAGTGTGGACAAAACTAGTTTCATTGAAGACAATGGAATGTTAGTGGACAAAGATGTTGTTGCAGAATATTAGTTAGATGGACGATCAAATAAATTATTTCTTATTTCATTTCATTTGCACATAGCTAAATGACCAGTAGAAGCAAAAAAAAGAGAAAAGAGAAAAGGAAAAAAGAAAAAGATGACAATAATGACAGCTTTATGAAATTTGTTTTGCCATCATCTATTTCTTTCTTTATTTATTTATTATTATTGTTTTTTTTTTTCTGAAATTTGAATTATCCCTTCTTATCCCTTATCATTTTTTTTTTAACTATTAACTTTTTCTGTGAAGATATTTTTTTTTTTCTTATGAAATTACTTTAGCTTCAACTACTGACCAAATAGATGAAATCTTGAATTATCTCAATTTCATAATCTTAAGTATTAATTTGATAAATTAATTAAGATCATTACACTTTATCTCATCATTCATATTAAATCCTGAAAGTACTACTCCACTCTCATTCCCACTACTAAATCAAAAATCCGATTTCAAGTATCTCTGTTTTGAAACAGCACTCACCGCCACCAACACACCCAGCACCGACAGCGGCACCAAAACCCTCCCGATATGTGAGCCCACCGTTGAAACCGTTCATGGAACCCTCCTCCTTCACGGTACCGCCTTCCGCTCCTTCTTCCTTCTACCCTTACACCATTTCCCAAGAAGTGTTAATCTCACTGGGAAGAATGAATGAAAGAAGTGAAGTGAATTTTGTATTTTTGACTGCCTCTCTGTCAATAGATCCCTGGTACGAATAGTATGTCAATGGTATATATTTTAAGAAGAGGAAAGGTACCGCGGGACTCCACCTCTCTTTTCAATATGATATTTTGAAACTGTCAATAGCAGCAAAAGCAAATAGCTTCCCACCAGTGCTTATTCCCATTTCGTCTTGTCTTGAAATAGTATTGAATACAAAAAAAAATGAGGTTATATTATTAAAAAAGTGGGAAATTTAAATTTTTCTAAAATTGAAATTTAGCTCGTTAAAGAGCTTTCAAAGAATGTACTGAAAGCATGCAAAAAAGAATTGCTTTATCTTTTGACAGGTAAAAATTATAAATGGTGAAATTATGTATGCTGAAAAAGTAAGAAAGTAGAAAGTTTCTAATAGTTCAATTCATCATTAAACTTTTTCATCAACAAAAAAAAGAAAAAGGAAATTTCTAGAAATACGTTTCTTGAAGAAAATTTCTGGAAAATAGTAGGAAGAATGGGAATAATTTGCTCATCAAAAAAGGATACAAGAAAGAATTATTGTTTGATATTACTATATCAATAAAAAAGTTTAGTGAAATTTTGATATGAAATTACCACTTTCGCATTTAAAAACATTATATACTTTCAGGATTATTAATAAGTATAACTTTTGATATCATTTATCAATTGGAACAATCAGATCTTTATTGAAATCATCAATAGGTTAATCAATGAATAAAAACTCCTTCTAATATTTTAAGTCTATTATAAGGTTATGTCATTAATGGGAATTAAATTATTTTAAGTAGGCAAATCTTGACATGAAATAAATGACCAAATAATCTGAATAAATTTAAAATTAATTTCAAAATATTTTGCAGTAATAAAAACAAAATTTTGGGAATAGTATGAAAATTTTCGGGAAGAAATTAGCATTAATGCCATAATGAATGAAATGAATTTCCGTTTTTTGTCAAATCCATTCATTTCCTAGAACAACTTTTGATATGTGTCGACATTGGCATTTAACTACCAGTTGACCGCTGGCTGACCCTATTATGTGTGTGTGTATGTGTGTGTGTGTGTGTATGTGTGTGTATGTGTGTGTCTATTGAAGAGTGTGTTTGTTGTGGTACATTCGAGGGGACAGAAGAGAGGTGGGCAGTGCTTTCATGAAATGACCGGGCAGGAGCAGGTACGAAAACCCCGGAGGGTAGAACAAATATCCCTTTTTTTCTTTCTTCTCCTCTTCCCATTTCTTTATCTCTTCATCTCTCAATATCCATGCTTTATTCCAAGGAGTCATCTAATGGCGGGGAGAAGTTTTGATTGTTTTGTGGTTGGATTTTATTTCAGGGAAAAGGTCAACGATCCGGACCTTCCCCTTTTGCTGCAAAAATGTTCAACATTTATTGTCTCGTCCTGTTTAAATTCTTGCTCCATTGAAATGACCGATCATCTAATATGATAATACCATCCAGAAAATCGAGAATGCCACAGGGTATGATGGAATGATTCAGGAAAAACGAATAATGAATGAAATATCTGAGCATAAAATAACAATAAGAGGTCATGAACATCCGTTAATTTTATAAAATATCCAAGGACAAATGGAAATACTTTCTTTTTTTTCTCTCTCTCTCTCTCTCTCTTCCCCTCTCTTATCCTTCTCTTACTTTCAGTAACCATAATGAAAAAAGAAAATAAAAAAAAAGAAATGAAAAAAGGAGTAGATGAAAGAATGAATGAAATAAAAATAGGATTGTTGCCATTTTTCCTAGAATTGACTGTTTACCTTTTTTTTTTTTTATATTTAAATATCTCATTGGCATCTATTCAAAATATACTAATTCAAAAGTAAATTTTATAATTTTAAAATTATTGTATGCAAAATGCAGAAAAAAAAATCGTAAACTGTAACAATTTCTAATTGATTATTGGATTATTAAATATTTTATAATAATTTTTAAGCTTACTATTTCATCTATTTTAACCATTTCTCTTAAGTACTTTTAATATTTGATTTCTAATTACTTTTCCAAATTTATATTATCACTTTTCAATTAGTTTATTATCTATTCCATTTCAATTATGTAATAGCAATGTGAGAATTTTAAACAAAATTTCTACATTTCATACAATATATTCTGCATAAACATTTTTTTTTTTTTTAATCCTTTACTTATCTCTCTCCCTCCCTCTCTCTTTTTCTCTCTCCCTCTCTCTTCTCTCTCTCTCCCTCTGTCATTGTTATCAGTTTAGTAAGAATAAACTATCCCAAATTGATTTCCACTGTCAAATCTCATATAAAAAGAAAA